CGAACCCGGGACCCTCAGATTACCCTAACCACCTGGTCCTTAAGGTTTGGATAACATGGAAGCCTGTAATATATCTAAACGAACCTTTCCAACAGGTAGAACGAATCTTCGAAGCTGTGGAGGACACGATTCATCAAAAATGCCAGCTCGTAGCTTTTCAAGACTGTATTTCTGCAGAAAGCTGGGATCCTCATAGGCTATAAGATCCATTACAATCTGGTCGTCCTCTTCGTAAGCATTCACGTGGTGGAAAACAAAGAAAGCTTCAGCCTTGTAGGTTGTTTTCTTAACTTTTCCTGTAAATTTCTCGATCACGTAAAATTTGGTCTAACAAAAGGAAACGAAGTTCATAATTTTAAAGAAAGTGGCGCTACATTTTTTTTTATATGTGAATTTCGTATATTATATTTTTGCATTGTCGAAAACTTACACCATATAATATTTTAACAAAAATAAACAATCTGATAAATATCAGAAGTTGAAGTTCTCCATCTTTCTTTTTGACGTCATGAAAACATTTATCAGATCCAGGTGTAGTCAGTCAAAAATAACAAAGATTTGTTTATTTGTTGTTGTTTTTTGGAGCAAAGCCACATTGGGCTACTTGCTGTGTCCACCGCGAGGAGTCAAACCCCTGACTTGAGTGTTATAAGTCCGTAAACTTACCGCTGCCTCACCATGGGGCAAAAAAGACAAAACAACAAAACAAAAACAAACAAACAAAGATCGCTAGATCGTCCAGAATAACTACAATGGCATAATCTTGTATTTTAATTTTATATACAATGGATAATAAATACCTATTAAAGTTAAGATGTAATATTTTGGTTTTATTAGGAAATGTATTTCAATAAATAAATATCTAACACTTAAAGATGTGAACAATAATAATGAGTTTATATATATACACACTACTGCTTTTTTTTTTTAATACCTTTTCTTTTGGAGTCCAATCCATACAATCAATTAGAGCATGTCCCTTGACTACAGATACCGCTAGTTTCAAGGTGTTTACAAGATGGGGTTGTTCGAGCAGTACAAGGTAATTTTCTGTTATAGCAAAACTGTGATAGTAACTAAAACATGTTTTCCAACTCGATGATATGGAAGTTATGACAGACGCCTTCAAGAAGGCTCTAGGTCCTAAAAATAACATGAAAAAAAACTTAAAAGAAAAAACGAATCTGTGCGTGTTAAGGAATTTAATGTCGGTCAATTATTACAAAATAGGCGTAAGTCTAATTACTGCTCTCTGAGAGTGTGTTTACCTATATTTAAGTAACAAATTTAAAAGGTTATCATTAAAAACAGGTGCATATCAGTAAGACGTAATTTTTACTTTGATCCTTACAAACTGAAGACGATTAAGGATTTGTTTAGGGTTTTGCATTATTTCTAGATAAAATATGTTAAAACTTAAATTAATTAACGATTTGATTAGTGTTAGAGGTTTTCCTAATAAATATACCAGTTAGATTTTCAAATCGATTAATGATTTGATTAGTGTTAGAGGTTTTCCTAATAAATATACCAGTTAGATTTTCAAATCGATTAATGATTTGATTAGTGTTAGATATATATATATTGCTCATCCAGATATGACTGTTGGAATCATAAATAATATTCAACGTTAAACTGGTACACAATTAAAAACATTTTATTTAGGCCT